AGTAAGCACTGATGATCTTCTGAATTTCTACAGGATCTATAGTGATTTCATCCCTTTCATTCCTTATTGTATGAATTTCAATTTTTTCTTTCCTTTTTTTGGCAAGGTTCACTGGGAGTTTATCAATTTTATTTATTCTTTTGAAGAAACAATTCTTCCATTCACTAATTCTTTGCATTATTTTCTTAGTGCCCTTTGTGTTAATTTCTGCTCTGATCTTTATGATTTTCTGCCTACTTTGGGTTTTGGGCTTGATTTGCTCTTCTTTTTCTAGAAGCCTGAGGTGCAGCATAAGATTATTTATTTGTGCTCCTTCTGTTTTCCTGAGGTGGGATTTCACCTGTTATAAATTTCCCTCTGAGGACTGTTTTCATTGCATCCCACTGGTTGCTGTAAGTTGTATCTGCATTTTCATTTGATTATAAATATTGTTTAATTTCTTCTTTAATTTCATCTCTGACCCGTTAGTTGTTCAGGAGGGTGTTATTTAATTTCCATATGTTTATAGAGTTTTTGTGATTTCTTTTGTCATTAATTTCCAATTTCATTGCACTTTGGTCTGATAGAATGCATGGGATAATTTCAATTCCTTTGCATTTAGTTTAGCATGTTCTATATGCTAGTATATAGTCTATTTTAGAGAACATCCCATGTGCAGCTGAGAAGAATGTATATTCTGATGTTGTGGGTGAAACACTCTGTAAACATCTACTAAATCCATTTGTTCATAAGTTGGGTTTAGTTCTGTTTTTTCTTTGATGACTGTTGTCCAGTTGATCTATCTCTTTGTGAAAATGAGGTACTAAAATCCCCTGTTATGACTGTGTTGCTGCTTATTTCATTTTTCATGTCTGTTAAAATTTGTCTTACATAGTTGAGTGCTCCTGTATTTGGTGCATTGATATTTATGATTGTTATCTCTTCCTCTTGAAGTTTTCCCTTAACAAGTATGTAGTGACCTTCTTTATCTCTTTTGATTGTTCTTGGTTGAAGTTGACATTGTCTGCAAACAGAATAGCTACACCTGCTTTTTTCTGGGTATGTGTTCTATGGAGTATTGTTTTCCATCCTTTGATTTTCACTCTATGAATTTCCTTTTGATTTAAATGTTTTTCTTGTATACAACATATTGTTGAATTTTGTTTATTGATCCACTCTGCCAGTCTGCTTCTTTTGATTAGTGTATTGAGACCATTTACACTCATGGTTATAACTGATATGTATTGGCTTATCTTGGTCATGTTTTCCTGCTGTAGGTTCCTCCCTGTTCCTCTGTTTAATTGCTTGTTCTGCTTGGTGGTTTCTTTCTGTTGTTGTTCTTGAAATTGTGCTCATTTTTTATCTCTTTCTAGAATATCTTTTAGTGCTTTGTAGGGTTAGTTTGGCACTCATGAATTTCTTCAGTTCTTTATCATGGAAATATTTCATTTCTCCATTAATTTTGAAGGATACTTTCACAGGGTACATTAATTTAGGTTGGAAGTTGTTTCCTTCTTGACTTGATGGTTTATGTTAAGAAATTTGCTGTGATTCTGATGGGCTTTCCTTTATATGTGATCTGTTTCTTTTCTCTAACAGCTTTTAATATTCTGTTCTTTTGTTGAATTTCTGCCACCTTGATAACTATATGTCTGGTTGTAGATTTATTTTGGTTATGGAAAATTGCAATTGTATGTGCCTCACTTATCTGTACTGATTCTTTTCCATGGTTGTGAGATTTTTCTACTATTATTTCTGTAAATAGTCTTTTTATCTAATTTCTGTGGATGCCTGCTATTTCATTGACATCCATTAATCTTATATTGTTTTTCTTTGCTTCTGCTTGTAGCTGTTCAATTGTTCTTTCCTATTCCTTGTTATTTTTAAGAGATCCTTCCTTTCATGATCATTAGCTGCGAGGCTGTTTTCAAGGTCTGAAAGTCTATCTTCAGTTTCGTTTAAGTGGTTTTGCCAGCTTTCAGTGTTAGTTTTAATTTTCTGGATATCTGTTTGAATCTGTTTCATGCATTCTAATTCTTTCCTACATTGTTCATTCAAGGTTTCCATCATTTTTTTATGTTCCTCTATTTTCTTATCTATGTCTTCTTTAGATGTGTTGAGCAATTCTTTCATCACTGCCATTTCTTTTTTACCTGAGAGATTATTTCTGATCTGATGTCTTCTATGGCCTGATGGAATTGTTTCTTTACTTCAGTTGCTATCATTTCAGAAATTTCAAGTGTATGACTTCCAAACTCGTCTGTGTCAGTGTCTCCTGGACTTGTTCTGGGTGAGGTGGAGGTCTGAGATTGCATTTTGCTCCTTCATTTTGTCATTTTTCAAGATCCAGAGGTTACCTGGAGCTCAGCTTCACTCCCATGATGGTGTAGGAGTGGTGGGGTAAGACCTGAAAGTTTCAGTGCTCAGCATGGCTCCTGCAATGGTGTGTGGGGAAGGGTGTTGTTGATAATGCTCCCAAAGCTTTCTGGGGCTCAGTTGGCTCCCATACCAGTGTGGGGGGAGTGGTGCATGGTCACTGAGGCTTCCAGAGCTGTCCATGGCTCAGCCCCACTTTCACAAGGGTGCAGGTGAGGGTGGGCCATTGTCATCTAGGTTCCTGCAGCTGTCCAAGGTTCAGCCTAGCTTCCATGAGGGTGTGGAAGTGGGTAGGTTGTAGTCAGTGAGTCTCCTGAAGCTGTCCAGGACACATCCTGATTTCCATGTTGGTGGGAGAGTGGGGAGGATGCAGTCACTGAGGCTGCTGAAACCGTCCAGGGTTCAACCCATCACCTGTAAGGGTGTTGTGGGGGGCATGGTCACCGAAGCACCTCAAGCTGTCTGGAGCTCAGCCTGGCTCACATATTGGTGGGGGAAGGGTGGGGGTGGCTTACTGAAGTTCCTTAACCTGTCTGGGGTTCAGTCCAGCTTCCCAAGGGTGTGGAGGAAGAGTTGTGGTCACCGAGGCTCCCAAGGCTGTCCAGGACCCAGCCCAGTTCCCTCGCCATGGGGAGAGGGGGGTGAGAGCACAGTCACAGAGGCTGCTGAAGCTGTCCAGTGTTCATCTTGGCTCCCACAAGGGTGCCTGCCTGTCTATTTTTCTATGACTCATCAATAGTTCATCTCACATTCTCCAAGAAAAATATAAACCCCTTAATGTGTGTGAATCAATTTTTTTTTAATTTCTTGGAGATGTCCCACATAGACTCTTTGAGGTTCCTGTTCCAACCTGTATGAATTGTTTTCCAACCCTGTTATGCATTAGTATCATGGTAGTTTTCTTCACATTTCTCCTGTGTTAGATTCCTTATTTCTTAATTCTTTCTTGATTTAATTTCTTATTTCAGAGGAGCATATCCTCCAGTAGCTTTTTCATTAAAGGGGCAAGGATGATTTAAAATGTTGAGACCTTTCATATTGAGACCTCTAACTACCCTCTCATTTATTTGATCATATTTTTCATATCAGGACCTTTCCTCAAATGCATAGTGGTCACTGGCAGTTGTTCACAATCAACAGTGAGGCTATAACAAATTGATTAGATGCTCTATGTGAGTGGAAGGGATTCACTGCATGTGGGCTTCACTCTCAAGTAGATAATAAGGCAAATTCTCAGTTTGGGGGTTGGAAGGTTTCCAACCCTCTATCTCTGTCTACCTTTGTCCTGGGAAAAGGCAGTTTCCCTGTAAGTAGGTGTTCAGGGTCCTGCTTTGACAGATATCCATCATTCTGGTAGGTAAATAAGGGAAGGCACTGCGGTCCTTGTTTAGTAGAAAGATTGCCTTAGCTCCTCTCTACCTTCAAAGCACTGCACTATGCACTGTACTGGAGATCAGAAACCTCAAAGATATACCTGGGTTTTCTTGTGAAAATGAGATGGGAGCTCTTACATTTTCAACCACTGTTCCTGGAGTTTCTCAAGAAATATTAATTAATCAAGTAATTAATTAACTGGGAGAGCATCCAGTCAATATTTCTGCATAGAAGTTTTTAAAACTCTTATTAAATATATGAACTTGAACACATTTTTTAATTCTCTGAGCTTCCTTTTCTTTATCTGTGAAATGAAAACTCCCCGAGAGCTCAAGTGTGAGGGTATTGTAGTATTAATGGGCAGAGAGGGCCTGACATGGTCTCCCTAGCACAAGGAGATCATTCATTGTAGGCAGTATGATACTCATGGTGGTAGTCAATTGTAATAACCTTAGCCTTGTTCCTGTGGGCAGAAAAGATCCATTCCCATTATCAGGTGCTTTTCTTGTACTCTCTACTCATGTTCTGCTGAAATGTTAATAGAATTAACAGGGGTACAGCAACCTCTACAAACTGTTCTTCAGCCACCCTTCCCCTGAGTGCCCAACCAAACTAGAGCCTCCTCACTTACTCAGGCCCCCATCTTTATGGATTAATGGGCAAAAGTGAGGACTTCACTGATGTCAGTCCAAACACAAGTCTGAAGGTAAAGCTGAGGTACATGACCACATTTTCTCCCCTGTTCCACACACAATTCCACCGTCCCCTATGTCAGTACCTTAGCCACCACTTCCCCCTGCTCCTGTTCTTCCCATCCCTCCTAGCAAAAAAGAGGCAAAGGGGACATTCTTGTCTTCAGTGTGTTAGAGCACACTTCCAGGGCAAGATGAGACGTGTCTTCTGCTATTTACCATTAGCCCTCTCTTGCCTTAATCTTTCTTCCTCTTTTTTCTCACTGTTCCTGTTTAGGTCTTGACCTACTTTGTTACAGGGCAGCCTTCTTCTTCACAGTTAAAGTCTTCCCTCAATTCTTAGGATGTGCTTTTTATCTCCACTGGGGTCTCCAGTAGGTGTATTAATTGGCTGTATCTCAAGGGATTTAATAGCAAAGAGCAGCTAGGGAAGTTGAGGAAGTTTGAAATGTCTTAAAGTTAGGAATTTAAAATGTTTGATGGGTCAGAGATCTGAAACAGAATCTGATGATGGGTTTTTGGTTTTTTTGGTTTCTTTTTTTGGTTTTTTTCTGGTACCGGGAATTGATCTCACAACCTTGTGCTTGCCAGGCAGGCACTGTGCTGCTGAACTAAATCCCCAACCCCTTACCTCCAATCTGACATTTAACATGTAAGACTCAGGTAGGAATTCTTTCCTCCCACAACCCTCATTGAGACTCAATCAATGAAAATATACCCAGTGAAATTTCTAAAGGAGGCCTTATTCACAGAAGTCATGGTCAGTTAAATGTTGAGAATCAACATCTGCTGGGAATGATGCAAATACAAAGTAATCTGGAGACTATGGGTGAATGAAGGACATAAGATTCATGAACAAGTCTCGCCTACTAACTCCTTACAGTCTTGTTTCTGTTTTCAGCCACAGACAAACAGGAAAACTACACTTTATCTTTGCCTTCTGCAGATGATCTTTTGTGAATACAGCCCTCAATTTATCCTTGAAATTCTCCCCTGCAAAGTAGTAGAGAAAAGGATTGAAGCAGCTGTTGGCAGCTGCCAAGGCCAGTGTGATAGCCACAGCTTTATGCAGCCCATCTCCGCATGAGTCCTTGTTCCATGTGATCAGGTGGAGGGTCCTCAGTATGTGATAAGGCAGGAAACACAGGAGGAAGATGATCAAGGTAATGATGATGGTGGTCAGTGCTTTCCTGTGAGAAGCTCGTAAACTTGATTCCGGGATCTCCACCTTTAATAGGACCCGAATGATCAGCAGGTAACAGATGCTGAGAGTGAAGAATGGCAGCAGGAAGCCTAGTGCCAAGGCAATGTGGTTCATGACCAGCAGTTTACCAAACTTCTGGGTATCCAACTCCAAGCATGTCGTGATGTTGTTCTTCAGCTCAGAACCGCTCCTCAGAAGCACTGCTGAGGAAGCCATGATAAAGAGCCATATGATCCCACATAGGATCCAAGCACTTCTGAAGCTGGTGACATGGAGAAGCCGGAAGGGGTGAACAGTGGCCAGGAAACGCACAACACTCAGCACAGTTAGGAAATAAATGCTCGTGTACATGTTGGCGTACAAGGAATAAGACATAATTCTGCAGGCCAGGTCCCCAAATATCCAGTTGGAGCTGTTCAAATAGTAGTGAGCCCTGAAGGGTAGAGTGCTTATGAATAGGAGGTCTGACGTGGCCAGGTTGAGCATAAAAACATTCACAGATGTGGACTTCTTGTAAGTCTGCAGGAAAACATAAATTGATAAGCCATTCCCCATGGCTCCCCAGACAAATATTATCAGGTATGCAATTGGGTAAAATTCTTTCTTGAAGCTTTCACTCATGCAGTTCCTGCTGCTGCTGTTGTTTGGTTCCATTCCTGATATGAAGCTGGCTAGAGATAGGACACAAGTTTTCTCTCTATGCAGGGTTAAAAGGAAACAAACACAAAAAGTTATTTTGTACATTGTTTCCCTCCTGTGCATGGATTATCTATCTTTCTAGGTTTTAATGAAACAGAAAGTTTCTCAAACTTTGAAACTTTAGTTGAAACATGTTAGTTAAGCTTTTATGTTGTATTATATTCCTCATTTATAAAATATAGACTATGCAATAATTTATTTGCCTAAAGCTGCAGAATAGCGATAGAAATTGAATTCCACCAATATCTACCTAAAGTCCTTGCTGCCTGAGCAACAATCTTCAACTAGTATGTCTACCTGAGACCCCTGTCCACAGCCACAGATAAGTTCACACTGAATTCAGCTCTGATATTTTGTTGAAAACCTTCAGCAATCTGGCTTTTTAATTAGGTTAACTGATAAATTACCAAAGGTTTAAATCAACTTGATTATAATTCTTTGTGTGTGTCTGTTATTGTGAAATCTATTTTTCTACATATAAACTTCCTTCTCTTTTCAGAGAGAACATATTCATTCATTTTCATAATAATTTCATATTCAGCTGAGGCAGACTCTTCTTCCTTCCTTTCATTTTCACTATTCTGCTTCTTTGTTCTTTTAGGAAATTAGTATTTTTCTTATCAAAAGTAGTCACTAACTTCTTATAGGTACATTTGAGAGAGACCCAGTCCAGATAAACAGTCAAGATATCTGAAAGAAAAAAGAAGTTATTAAACTGTGCTTGTTTTTTGAACACTAAAACTATATTTACCAGTAGACTCTATTGTTATAATTATGATAACAAAAGGCATTATCTTTAAGTTAAAAGAAAAATAAAATTTTAGCATGATTCAAAGTCTTCAGAAAATTAATATGAAATCTCAGCATAATAGCTTGGTTTGGAAAAGGCCAGGGTTGAACTGCTTTTGATTAAACTAGATTTCCTATGTTCCTGTATGAAGGCCATCTAAATCATTTCTGTGTGTGTGTGATTGTGAAGAAAAGGTTGATTAGTTTGGGTAAAGATAATAATTATTACAAATGGTTAATACAGAGTGCTGTTGTTTGAATATACAGTGTCCCCCAAAGGTCCATGTGTTAAGGGCTTGCTACTCAAAGTGGCACTGTTGGGAGGTGCTATGGATCTTCAGAAGGTGGAGCTCAGTGGGAAGTCCTTAAGTCATAGGAGACAAATCCTTGAAAGTGGTTATGGGACTCTGGTCTCTTTTTGCTTTTGCTGTTTCTGGCTAATGAAGGAAGTCCCTTGCTCTGCCTTGTCCTCCTTGTATGATGTGCAGTGTTGTTAGAGGGCTGGTCCCTCCAAAATCATGAGCCAAAATAGACCTTTTTTTGTGTGTGTGTTATTGTGTCAGGTATTTCATTATAGTAGTGAAAATCTGACTAATACACAAACAAATACATATCCTTGATAAATAGTATGATTTTCTTTTTAAGAACTTTAAGAAAGTTGAAACTATTTATTGAGAGGTAAATTTTACATGATACATCATTTTATTTATGACATTAAATTTAAAACTATTGTTAAACACTGGAAATTTATTACCTACTTAAATATTTGTGTATGTCTACATGTATACATATATGAACATATTAGTAAAGCCTTTAACATTGCTGGTTATTTAATGAGTAATATACAGAGAGTAAAGTCATTTAGGTCTTTTAATGTAGTTATTTTATACTCATATGAATAAAGATAATTTGTCGATAAAATATTTTGTTAGTTATGTGCTTTTAACATACTTTTAAATCATTTTAAAATATTCTTTTACAAAATGAAAATTAAGCTCCCAATAAGTACTGCTAATCTGTATGTGTTTTCACAATTTGCTTTTAATTATTTCTTGATTATAGATACTTGTGACTTACATTTTGTCTCCTTGAACAACTATTCTTGATTTTTCACTTCCAAAATTTAGGTCCCCAAATTAGAATAATCAAGCTATTAATATGTTTTTGAAGCCTAAACTATCTTTGGGTTCACTAGAGTGACTATCAAGAAAGACTTGTTAGTTCAACAAGGACAATGATAATAACTAAATTCCTAAATATCCTTTGACCTTCAGTTA